CAGGCTGACAAAGAAAGATTTCCAGGGATGCTTCCAGGCTGACAAAGAAAGATTTCCAGGGATGCTTCCAGGCTGACAAAGAAAGATTTCCAGGGATGCTTCCAGGCTTGGCAGCGGCGCTGGGATCGTTGTGTTCACTCCCAGGGGAACTACTTCGAGGGTGATGCATGAATTTAATACCTGAGATAAGTGTACGGGTTTTTATACGCGCAGTCTTGAAACTTTCCGATCGCACCTCATATAGTAACTAGCTACGGGCTGGACGACCGGGGTTCGATCCCCGACAAGGGCAGAGGATTTTTCCTCTAGCCTCTGCGTCCAGATCAGCTCTGGGGACCACCCAGCCTCCTCTACAATGGGTACCGGGGTCCTTTTCCGGGGGTAAAGCCGGCCCGGGCGTGATGCTGACCACTCACCCCCATCTAGTGCCAAGGTCAAGGAAAAGAGGAGCTATACCTCCACTCACCCCAAATGCCTACATGGTGTATAGTGGGACAAACTTTACTTTTTACTGACAGTTTGTAAAACTTTGAAATACCAGAAACATAGTGATTCTTTAGAATTGCCAGAATGTCTGCCATCACTTCTGCCAACTCTAAAATTATATATCTAATTACTACACAACACCAAGTAAACAGATTTTCTGTTCACTTACCTGACATAGCCTCTTCCTTAGGTGTAAGTGTATCAACGTCTATGGAAGCAATGCTAGGAGAACGAATCAGACTTGCTAAATTTAGTGTAAGGTTTAGCCGGTTTCTATCTAGCTCACCCGAAGTGTCAATACTCAGAACCTTATAATGGACTGTGCTTACATCACTTGATGGCACCTGTTGGTTGCACAAAAATTCTTTTATGAGAAAATATTTTCAATGTTCATCAAAAATATACACACGATTCAACACACTCTATTCTTGAGCACTAAGAAAAGGTGAAGTGTCGAGCTTCATACGCTAGTGATCTTTATCCCAATGACCATGAAAATACTTAGTATCGTCTACAATGTATGGTTTTGTATGTTTCTGTTCTGCAACTGTTAATTATGCAATAATAATTATGTATTCCCATTTATAGAATAGTATGACTGATGATTACAATATTAACCCATTTGTTGCCATAAGCATGCTAATTCACATGTTCCAGGCCACAGTCACTGCATGCATAATTTTACACAGAGCAGTTAAAGAAGCCTGTGCTGTAATACAGAGTGATCCAAAAGTCGCGCAACCTGACCCAAAAGTCACGCAGAAGAGCATGGAAAAGTAAGTATTGGCAACACTGTACTGTTGGCCGGGTGTTGTGCAGGCAGTATGACCTTGAGACATCTGCTAGGTCTCACCAGTTGAGTAAAGGCATTCGAAAGTGTAAGATGAGTTTTTCACAAGCGGGGCGAGTATTTATTGTGGAACATTATTTTATGACGAATTTGTACACGGAATGTCAACAATCGTTTGTGCGTAGTTTTCCAAACTAGTGTGAGCCGAATAAATCAGCAATATGCCGAATTGTTCACCGTTTTCGTGAAACAGGCAGCGTAAGTGACAAGCGATCTGGACGGCCATCAAGTCTGAGTGACGAAAATTTGAATGAAACCAAGCCTCATTTGTGAAGAAAACGTTGTCCAAGATGCCAACACCATCCCTCACAAGTTCTTGGAACCATTTACATTATCGTAATCTTTTTACTTTGTCCGGTTCCTTGAGTTCATGCATTGTGTGAATTCTGTAAGGCACAAGTTTCAGCCGCCTCGTACACCTCTGCGTTGTTCCATAACTCAATCCAGTCTGCTGTGCTAATCTTCTTAAGGACTTCCTGGGTGACCATTCTAAGCACTGCCTAACTTCATTCAAATTTTCATCACTCAGACTTGATGGCCATCCAGATCGCTTCTTGTCACTTACGCTGCCTGTTTCATGAAAATGGTGAACAATTCGGCATATTGTTGATTTATTCAGCACGCGCGATTCTGGAAAACTATGCACAAACGATTGTTGGAATTCCGAGTACGAATTCAGCGTAAAATAATGTTCCACAATAAATACTCGCCCTGCTTGTGAAAAACTCATCTTACACTTTCAAATGCTGTTACTCAACCGGTGAGACCTAGCAGATGTCTCAAGGTCATACTGCCTGTACAACACCCGGCCAACAGTACAGTGTTGCCAATACTTACTTTTCCATGCTCTTCTGCGCAACTTTTGGGTCGAGTTGCGCGACTTTTGGATCACTCTGTACTATACAGTTCAGTAAATTGTGCAGGCTGCATGTAACATCTAGAGACCAGTGAAAGTACTTCCTGGTAAGAATGTATAACTCAATCACATTTAAGTGTAAGCAGTTTTCCACCAGAAGTGGGGATGGCTGTGGATGGGTCAATAATACTCAAAACAATTTTTGACAATTTGCAGCATAATTAACTACATGCAGCAGAATACTTCTTGATAAAGTTCACAAGTGCCTGGCACTGGACTCCACATCCCAAGTAACCAAGATCAGCTTCTGAAGGTCTGCTCCATGCAGTTAGTCAAACACTGGCTACTCACCTCTCGTAGGTTGAGGGAGAACTGCTGTATGAGAGGGCGTCGACTGAAGTACCAGAAGCGCTCTCCTTGAGGAAATACTTTTACAGGTGTCTCAATAAGAAAACGGACAGGCTCCTGGATACCTTGGATCACCAGATCTACAGCCACTGTGATGTAAATTCGTCCATCACGTGGCGTCTCCACATTCAAAGCTTCAAATGCTGGATCTGCAGGATCCCAGTGACCAGAGATCACATAACATTGTTTATCACCAGTTCCTGAACCCACTGA